AGACTTTGATATACACAGACCCGAATTCAAAAGTTCGGTCGTAAAATACGACCGTATTTTTGAACCAAACAATAAAAACACGCATCGACCGTTTTAAACCGTTTTATACGATCGTATAATACGATTCCGTATTATACGGTAAAAAATCAATAATTCGGTTGTAATTTTGAACCTTGGGTTAACCAGAGCATAGGTCAACCAGAGCCTAGGTCAATCAGAGACTAGGTCACCCAGAGCCTAGGTCAATCAGAGCCTAGGTCAATCAGAGACTAGGTCAACCAGAGCCTAGGTCAATCAGAGCCTAGGTCAATCAGAGACTAGGTCAACCAGAGCCTATGTCAATCAGAGCCTAGGTCAATCAGAGCCTAGGTCAACCAGAGCCTAGGTCAACCAGAGCCTAGGTCAATCAGAGACTAGGTCACCCAGAGCCTAGGTCAATCAGAGCCTAGGTCAATCAGAGACTAGGTCACCCAGAGCCTAGGTCAATCAGAGCCTAGGTCAATCAGACCAGAGCCTAGGTCAACCAGAGCCTAGGTCAGCCAGAGCCTAGGACAGTGACAGCAGGGTGAATTAGCAGCACGGGAAGGGGCCAGGCTAACAACGCGGTTGGTGACAGCCTGAGTTGGGTCATAGGCTTGGACAGTCATTGCATGGGTGAGTGACAGCGTGACTCCGTGAACCGGGGCCAAAGTAGCAATGCCAGGAGGGGCAACGAATGCGTCAAGGGGCTCTGCTAGTCTCTTGGCAGTATGCAGAATCCGTAAGCAACTCCGTGTGTAACCAACAGTTGCGCATTGACCCCCTCTGCCAGAACTACGAGCACCATGACTTTTGAGTTGTGCGCCTCAGGCTTGCAAGGCTTGAAAGCGAAGGTCTGACTGGGGAAAGAAAGGGGAGGCTTACCTCTATTTAGGGTTTCTTATACTATCGTGTTTCCGCGGCTCGAAGAGACTCAGAGGCGGCGCGGTGCGTCGATCTGCAGCGCGTGGTGCGTGATGGCGCGGCGCGGCAATTTCGAAAGTGTTGCGACGGAAGGAAACGAGCGGGCCAATAATAGTGACGAGAGCACTGGATGCGCGGAGTATAGTACGAGTGGCGAAGAATGCGTCGTCGTGAGTCGTACTTGTAGACTAGGTCAACCAGAGCCTAGGTCAATCAGAGCCTAGGTCATTCAGAGACTAGGTCAATCAGAGACTAGATCAACCAGAGCCTAGGTCAATCAGAGCCTAGGTCAATCAGAGCCTAGGTCAACCAGAGCATAGGTCAACCAGAGCCTAGGTCAATCAGAGACTAGGTCACCCAGAGCCTAGGTCAATCAGAGCCTAGGTCAATCAGAGACTAGGTCAACCAGAGCCTAGGTCAATCAGAGCCTAGGTCAATCAGAGACTAGGTCAACCAGAGCCTAGGTCAATCAGAGCCTAGGTCAATCAGAGCCTAGGTCAACCAGAGCCTAGGTCAACCAGAGCCTAGGTCAATCAGAGACTAGGTCACCCAGAGCCTAGGTCAATCAGAGCCTAGGTCAATCAGAGACTAGGTCACCCAGAGCCTAGGTCAATCAGAGCCTAGGTCAATCAGATCAGAGCCTAGGTCAACCAGAGCCTAGGTCAGCCAGAGCCTAGGTCAACCAGAGCCTAGGTCAATCAGAGCCTAGGTCAATCAAAAACTAGGTCAACCAAAGCCTAGGTCAATCAGAGCCTAGGTCAATCAGAGACTAGGTCAACCAGAGCCTAGGTCAATCAGAGCCTAGGTCAATCAGAGACTAGGTCAATCAGAGACTAGGTCAACCAGAGCCTAGGTCAATCAGAGCCTAGGTCAATCAGAGCCTAGGTCAACCAGAGCATAGGTCAACCAGAGCCTAGGTCAATCAGAGACTAGGTCACCCAGAGCCTAGGTCAATCAGAGCCTAGGTCAATCAGAGACTAGGTCAACCAGAGCCTAGGTCAATCAGAGCCTAGGTCAATCAGAGACTAGGTCAACCAGAGCCTAGGTCAATCAGAGCCTAGGTCAATCAGAGCCTAGGTCAACCAGAGCCTAGGTCAACCAGAGCCTAGGTCAATCAGAGACTAGGTCACACAGAGCCTAGGTCAATCAGAGACTAGGTCAACCAGAGCCTAGGTCAATCAGAGCCTAGGTCAATCAGAGACTAGGTCAATCAGAGACTAGGTCAACCAGAGCCTAGATCAATCAGAGCCTAGGTCAATCAGAGCCTAGGTTAACCAGAGCATAGGTCAACCAGAGCCTAGGTCAATCAGAGACTAGGTCACCCAGAGCCTAGGTCAATCAGAGCCTAGGTCAATCAGAGACTAGGTCAACCAGAGCCTAGGTCAATCAGAGCCTAGGTCAATCAGAGACTAGGTCAACCAGAGCCTATGTCAATCAGAGCCTAGGTCAATCAGAGCCTAGGTCAACCAGAGCCTAGGTCAACCAGAGCCTAGGTCAATCAGAGACTAGGTCACCCAGAGCCTAGGTCAATCAGAGCCTAGGTCAATCAGAGACTAGGTCACCCAGAGCCTAGGTCAATCAGAGCCTAGGTCAATCAGATCAGAGCCTAGGTCAACCAGAGCCTAGGTCAGCCAGAGCCTAGGACAGTGACAGCAGGGTGAATTAGCAGCACGGGAAGGGGCCAGGCTAACAACGCGGTTGGTGACAGCCTGAGTTGTGTCATAGGCTTGGACAGTCATTGCATGGGTGAGTGACAGCGTGACTCCGTGAACCGGGGCGAAAGTAGCAATGCCAAGAGGGGCAACGAATGCGTCAAGGGGCTCTGCTAGTCTCTTGGCAGTATGCAGAATCCGTAAGCAACTCCGTGTGTAACCAACAGTTGCGCATTGACCCCCTCTGCCAGAACTACGAGCACCATGACTTTTGAGTTGTGCGCCTCAGGCTTGCAAGGCTTGAAAGCGAAGGTCTGACTGGGGAAAGAAAGGGGAGGCTTACCTCTATTTAGGGTTTCTTATACTATCGTGTTTCCGCGGCTCGAAGAGACTCAGAGGCGGCGCGGTGCGTCGATCTGCAGCGCGTGGTGCGTGATGGCGCGGCGCGGCAATTTCGAAAGTGTTGCGACGGAAGGAAACGAGCGGGCCAATAATAGTGACGAGAGCACTGGATGCGCGGAGTATAGTACGAGTGGCGAAGAATGGCGTCGCCGTGAGTCGTACTTGTTTCGTAGAAGCGATTCGAGTCAACTTCTCTTGCGATGGGAGATAGCGCGCTTGCAATGTAGTACGCCTACTATGCGTCACGGCTAGCACATACTAGCGTTAGCTGAACATAGCTTGAGTAGGAAGGAGCATATGGGATCAAATTATGACCTGGTACTCGAATTTCGAGTTTGCCTCCAATCGCGATTGTTTTCAAGTTACCACCCATTTTCCGCGATGAACTATCTGTTCACAAAATTCATTAACTTCGCGAAGCGAAATGCCAAACAAGCAGGCCCTGTGACTCAGATTCGATGCCTGAGTTCGTGAGGTACCAGTTACACATTTCAAATCAAGTTCGTTCATTTGACCGACATTTGCACGGTTACCCCCCACATGCCTTTCGTCAGCTTCGTACTTGAAACGAGGCATCAACTGGAAATACCACGCATCTGAACTAGTGTCGTAGAATAGGCTCCAGTGCTGCTGTCACAATGTTGGGCACACATATGCTCACACTCATCCCACCACCGTAGTTCCTGCAGAAACTACGAGTCGCGTTTCTATGCTTTAAAAGCGTGTATAATATTCCTCGTTTCACTTAGTATCAGTTAGCAGTTAGTATCGGTTAGTATCAGTGAGCGGGATAGAAATCATCCTTTCCATCGGTATCTTATCTATCCCTCTTTTTACCGCTCGCACTCGCTTCTTTTTTTTTTCAAAGCCATCGCATTCTCTCGCTTCTATTTTTTCACAACTCCGTATTTCGGATCGTTTGGCGTGTCTGGTGCCTGTTGCGGAGCTCAGAGCCAAGTGTCTGCGCTAGTCTCTTACCACACGTTTCAATCTTCCAAACCCTAGAAACAGGTAAGGCTGGTCCCGTCATTGCATTCATTTCGGCTTGCACGCCAGCCACGACCATCCATCCTCAGATTCCTCCTTTCGCCGATGCTCCCAACCTCTGTTTCTCTCATCCTCGCACTACATCCCCACCGTCTATTCCACGTTCCCATAGCTTAGCACACTAGGGAAAAGCGTGATAGTCATGCATAATTTCTCACGCTTCCGTAAGCAGTGCACACTGAATGCCAATGGGGTAATCACTTGGTAAGGAATCGCCAAGAAGGGACGTGTGACCAGACATAGCTGCCGCAAGTCCCGTTACCTCACATCCATGTGTTTTCCATTATCCCTTGAATCCCCACCACTCCATCCACTCAGTTTCAAGAACAGCTATTAGTTGGGAAACGTCTTTTCCGCTAGAGATGTGTTAGCTCGCATTTCCTCTACCAGGCTCCTCTCTTAGTTAAGCTCGCACCTCTGATTTTCAGTTCCACTGCTTGGATGTAGTCACGAGCAGTGGATGAGGCCAAGTATACTCACCTTATTTTGGTTTGCGTTGCTTAACAGCTAGATGTCTACTCGCATTGGGTGCCTTCCCTCTCCGCCGCCTTGTTGATCGCCTTGAGGAGCTAGAATACCATCTTGCTAGCAACTCCCGCCTCATCCTCAGCACCCATGCGGAATCTCACCCTGCTCTGCCAGAGAATCCACCCTGCCCCCTCTCATGCCCACCTGGAAACCCACACTCCCTGCCACACATAAGGATCACCCTGTCTAGCTGAGCAAGTTAAAAAAAACGATATGCTTTTGCAAGTGGTGCAGGGGCCAACATGAAATCTGTATTTGTAAGCCCCCCCCCCCCCCCCCCCCCCCCCCCTTCCCCCCCCCCCTTCCCCCATTTCCAGTCGAATAGAGTACGGGTACTTAACTCGACAAGCAATTCTCGTCTCGCCTTGGTGGATTAAACCTATGTCACTTTCTCCTAATGTCTGCCTCCTGTGCCTCTTTTCTCTATGCATGTCCCTATACATATATGCTTTCATGCGTACCGACATCGGCATGCCACTTCAGGCGTTCCTTTGTAAGAAGGGATCTACCTGTAATAAAGCAGCACGTATGGCTACAGAGAGGGAGGGGAATGAGATTGCTGAAGCACTGCGCGGACTGTTCGGTTTGGTGAGAGGGGAGCTGACAGCATTGAAAGGGGAGCTGGCCATGGTTAGGGAGCAGGTGGCCCGACAGAATGAGCGAGTGTTGATACTGGAGGAGAGGAACCAGGTTTTGGGGAATGAGGTGAATGAGTTGAGGTATGCACTGGATGTTGTGGGAGAGAGGAGTGTGGCAACTGCTGCTGTGGTTGAGGAGAGGGAGACAGCGTTGGCAACATTGACCGAGGAGCTGAATAAAGTGAAGGCAGAGCTGACTGCAGTGAAGGGGGGGCTGGCTGAACACAAGGATGTTATAACAGAGCAACTGGATATGGCTGAGAGACGAAGGGAATTGGAATTGAGAGAGCTTGGAGAGGAGGTCAGAAAGGGAGAGGATGAAATGAGAGCGGAGTTGGCAAGGGAGAGGGAGGAGAGGAGGAGGGAGGTGCAGGCGCTTGATTGGCCTTGTGCCATGGAGGAATTGACAGCCTGCCGAAATTGGCAAAATTTTGAGCTGGAAATGTGCAGAAGTGATGACCGTCAGATTGATGCATGGAAGGTGAGTGCTGACCTTTATGTTCGATAGGCCATTTGTTGTTTGACTGGGCATGCATTGTTTAACTCGGCATGCATTGTTCGATAGCCCATGCATTCTTTGACATGCCATCCATTCTTTGACATGCCATCCATTGTTTGACATGCCATCCATTCTTTGACATGCCATCCATTGTTTGACATGCCATCCATTCTTTGACATGCCATCCATTCTTTGACAGGCCATGCATTGTTTCACATGCCATGCATTGTTCCACATGCCATGCATTGTTCCACATGCCATGCATTGTTCCACAGGCCATGCATTGTTCCACATGCCATGCATTGTTCCACATGCCATGCATTGTTCCACAGGCCATGCATTGTTCCACATGCCATGCATTGTTCCACATGCCATGCATTGTTCCACAGGCCATGCATTGTTCCATATTCCATGCATTGTTCCACATGCCATGCATTGTTCCACATGCCATGCATTGTTCAATATGCCATGGAGCGAGCTCATTGTCACGATGGTCATTCCTGTCATTAACTCCCTCCAGCGAATCAGGTCAGCATTACGAGGAATTCATTTGAATCTGGCGGATCTCCACAGCCTCTCAGACACCATCCTCAGGCATGCGTCTACAATGACTCACCTAATGAGCATAGACTTATCCTCTACCTCAGGCTTCAGTGCAGAGGGCATCAAGCACCTCTACAGGCTACCACGGCTGGAGAAGCTAAACCTCAACTGCACAGACGTCTCAGACAGTGCATTAGAAGGGATTGGATCCTCGGGCAGTCTCAAGCAGCTCTATCTCCATCGTACCAAGGTGACCAATGCTGGCCTGGCGCACTTGACAGCCCTGCCCCCTCTCGAAGTGTTATGGCTTACTGAATGCAAGGGTGTGACAAATGCTGGCATGGTGGATTTGGGTAGGCTGACAGGGCTCGAGAGCCTTGCTCTGGGTGGAACTGAAGTGTCGAATGATGGGCTACAGCAGCTGACTGCCCTGACCAAACTGACAACTCTCTGGACGCCATTATGGGGATGCCTTCAAAACGATGCTGCACGGAGGTGGATATGCAAAGTGGCCGAGAACAGGCGTGGAAATGGAGGCGGGGTTAGGGAAGAGATGTCACAGGCCGCAGCACAGTGAAAGGATCTCCTCAGAGGAGAGGGTATGACACAGGTTTCTGAACAGTCTTAGTATGCTCAATTACTGGTAATCATGTTCATTTGGTGATCCTCCAAACTCATCAATGACAAAAACTCTTGCTACTACCGGTATGTAATACATCAGACAGGAGATTCATGCCTCCTGTACACAAAACCACATAAGGTGGCTTGCTACTATAGTACATTCTGAGGGCATTCTATTGGCCGAGGGTACTATTCAACAATCCACCTGAGGTATCCACTGCTGGAATGGCGGCAGGCGGCAACACAGTGAAAGGATCTGAATCCCTGGAACTACCGTAAGGAATGAAATAGAGTGGCATGCAGAAAACAAAGAATTGCGGCCTCGCCCGGATTTTTTACCAAGAGCAGTAGCGATGCAACAGCTCGTTCTGTTAGCTCTGATGTTGTTGAGTACTGCCACGCTTCACTGCATTGATTTGCCTGTGATGAGGACAGGAGGCAGAGGTGCTGCCCGAGTGCGATTTGAGAAGGCGGGGAGAAGATGGGAGGGTGATGACGTTGATCTAGGACGGGGAGGGACACAATGTTTTCGTCATTAGTTGGACGAAGGAAAGGCCATGACCCGATGGCATGAAAGGCAGGGCATGGTGGGATCGTACAATTTAATAAAAATGCTGACAGCTAGCTGGAAGGCAGGAGGTGAGGATGTGGATTAGAGGTGAGGTGAGCTGATGAGGTATGGGATGGGATATGGGATGGGGTGTGGGATGGGGTATGGGATGGGGTGTGGTATGGGGTATGGGCTGGGGTGTGGGATGCCGTATGGGATGGGGTGTGGGATGGGGTATGGGATGGGGTGTGGTATGGGGTATGGGATGGGTTGTGGGATGCGGTATGGGATGGGGTGTGGGATGGGGTATGGGATGGGGTGTGGGATGGGGTGTGGGATGGGGTATGGGATGGATTGTGGGATGGGATATGGGATGGGGGTGTGGGATGGGGTATGGGATGGGATATGGGATGGGGTGTGGGATAGGGTGTGGGATAGGGTTTGGGTTGGGTGTCGGATGGGGTATGGGATGGGGTGTGGAATAAGGTATGGGATGGGGTGTGGGATGGGGTATGGGATGGGGTGTGGGATTTGGTATGGGATGGGGTGTGGAATGGGGTATGGGATGGGGTGTGGGATGGGGTGTGGGATGGGATGGGATGGGGTATGGGATGGGGTACGGGACGAGGTATGGGATGGGGCATGGGATGGGGTGTGGGATGGGGTGACTCATGGAATGGGCGGGATGGGGTATGGGATGGGGTGGGTCACTTGATTCATCTACGAAATGAATGGCAAGACGGGAAGACAGCTATTTGGGTGTGATGGTTGAAGTTACAGGTGCAATGGCTAAAGTTGGGCAAATGGAGAACTTGAAGATGGGAAAGGGGGAGACGAGGGAAAACAGGGGTTATGGCATGGGGAAGGGATATGGAATGGACAGGGTTAGGGCGGAGGTGGATGGGGAAGGGGAGGAAGGGAGCAGTGACAGTGGGTGCGCGCCCTACTTTGCACTGCCTCGTCCTGGAAATGTTGGGAATGGAGAGACGAGGGCTAGGGGCGATTGGAAAGTGATGAGGCAGGGCGGAGCACTTAAAAGTGAAACAGACACAACGCAATGTAGGCATGAGGACATTGTATGAAGGTTATGGTACATAGAAATCCATGAGATGAACGTGTTGCAGGAGGTAGCTGAGACGGGAGAAGCATCGCCACTAACACCATCAGCACGGGTTCTGGCATCAGCAGCAGGAGCAGTCACAGTGGGAGCTGCAGAACTAGCAGAGGTAATGTGCATGTGGTAGGAGAGACAGGGAAACTCCTCGCCCATCTGTCTTCCGTCACACCTCACACACTCCCTCACATCATCACCCCCACCGTTGACAGCAAAATACTACCCACCACCACACACCCACTCCGGCCCGAAATGTTATCTACCCTCTACTTTCCCTCACCACATGTCTCTTTACAATCCATATATCTCTCTTCCCTCCCATGCTCTCACGTACTGCTCTCACCGGCTGCTCCAGAAAGATGGGGATGCTTCGTCCCGCTGCCTATTTAGCAGCGCTGGTATCTGCAACGTCATCCATTGTAAATCTCATTCTGCAATCAGTCTTCCCTTCAGCATGCCACTGTCATGGCCACGTGACACGCCCAGGAGCTGCTACGTTAGCCGTTAAAGCTCAGCAGTAACCAGGAGGCGGAGGGAGGAGGAGCGGGCGAGAGGGACAGGGAGGGGGAGGAGGTGGGAGATGAAAGGGGGAGAGGGGCGAGGGCTGGGAGTGAGGTGTATCACATGTTGACTGTACCGGACGCGATGTTGCAGAGACTGACGGTGGGAAGCGACAGGGGACAAAGGAGGGTAGGAATGAATGCGGAAAGCAGAGTGGTAAAGAGGGTTGGGGAGGAGGTCCGAGAAGGCAGGCGACGACGAGGATTGAGAAGCGAAACGCGGGAACGAGGAAAGGTGGGGGCATGCAAAAGCAAACATTGAAACGAGGAGGGAGTAAGGTCAAAGGCAGGAAACGGGAGTTCCAAAACGTACATAGTTAAGAAAGGCGAAGACAAGAGCGGCCAGAAGCATCGGGGAAACGTATGGGTGCACCCCATTTCTTAATCATGGCAATATGGGAGCGCATATCATATTTCTTAATGCCAAGCATGCGTTTCCACGTGCGCCATCCGACCTGATAACGATCGCATCAGCAGCGGCCGACGAAGAGATTCGTTCTGATGCGATTACACTCTCTCAACTCGACTCACCCTTGTCGTCGCCAAACAACTAAAGGGCGATATGGGTCGCATCTGCCTGAATAGCACGTCTTCCTTCGTCTGCCTTTTCAGACAGCTACAGGGAAGCTCGACTTCCCTCTTTCTCTTGCGCTACAATCGCCTCTCTCGCACCGCAACCCCTCCCAAATCCTCCCACTTCCCCCCAATTTCCTCAGGTAGGCCAAGCTGCACGTCCTGCTTGGTGTAGCATGGTCAGTCTCTCCCAAGTCGCCCTGCTCTCATCTGCATTCACCATCCAACAGCATGGGCTTGCTCACTTGCACCGCTTCTACATGCACGTGCACCCTCATGAGCGGCCAGTAACGTCCAGCCACCAGCAGCGCATCTGCCACTCCCAACACCCTCCTACTTCTCACCCCCATCTACTTCCATCAAGGCGAAAACCATTACCCCCCCCCTTCCCCCTTCTCCCAGCTCCCGCCTCTCCTCTACTTCCCACTCCCCTTCTCCTCGCCCCCCTCCATTCCTATCCGTCTCCATCCAACCGCCCTAATCCCTCTCGTCCCTCTCCTCTCGTCCCCTCCCCCATCCCCTTCCCCCAACCACACCCCCCACCTTTCCTCTCCTCCCATCCCTCCTCTCCCCCCCTCATTCTGCAACCGTGCAGCACCCAACCGTGCAGCACCCAACCGTGTTGCACCCAGCCATGCATCACTCTCCGCAGGACGCACCTGCTCGGCTACTTGCTCGCGGCGAAGGTCAAGGCCACCCGGACCCACTGCCTGCGCGTGCAGCGCCCAATTCTCCAGCACGTCGCTGTAGCCTGTAAGAGGATGGCAGGTAGCATGAGGGGGGAAGGGAGTGCGGAGAAACGAGGAAGGGGGTAGGGGGTAGGTTGGGGGTTTTGGGGGGGGGGGGGGGGGGGGGGGGGGATGAGGGAGGTGGGGAAGGGGAAGCATAGAAGGAAATTCAATGTTGTTAGGTGTCTCGGAAGGGCAAATAAGGTTTGTCGCTCACATCAAGCGCAGGAGGATAAGGAGCAACAATTAGCGAGGAGAAGGGGGGAACATGCATGGGGAGAGGAGCAGGGAGAGAGAAGACGATCCTCGCACCAGCATCGAAGGCGGCGATGATGACATTTAAGAATCCTCCAAAGCGACAATTATGGTGATCACCGTTTCGCCATCGTCAACTCGCCACTCGATTCGCTGCTCTTTGCAGCTTCGACGCCTGCGATGCTCGCGACGCCGCCTCTCGCAATCCACTCTCTGCTTAAGAGAAAAGCGTATCTGACGTTTATTTTCCTCATGCCGCCTGATGTCAGTTGCGCATTCATGCTTCACGCAACGGGCGGCGTCGCACAGTGGAATTGTGCGATGGTAAGGAGGAAAAAATGGGGAGTGGAAGGAGGTGCGAGAGATGTCCCCTTCTTAAATCGGATCTTAGACGACATTCTGACAACCCATAGTGAGTAGATTAGACGATGAGCATCACACATCAGTGTCATCTTGCCGTTGTTTAGTCACACGCTCAAACTGTGAACGCTCAATTCTACATTATCGCTAGACTGCTTGAAAATTCTAGATCTCGGGGTGTGTGGAGAGATCGCGGTTCCCTTTGTCGAAAGATACTGATGCCACTAGGTCGTTCGTACCCTAATTTGCATGTTTAAACATGGCTCTTTGTATGCTGAAAGAAATATCATTTGCTTTAGCGCTCATCTGGATTTCTTTATTGCGGGGAGTAAGAGGTCGGTGTTCGTCAAACAGGGTCAACCGCTGTCCTGATTCGTCTGACTCGCAGACCTGGCGAGATTTTCGGTGGCTCGACACGCCCTGTTGGCGTACAACACCACCACCGAAACTCGTATCGCCTTGGAATTCGCGATTGCAGGGTAGGTTGACGATCTTTTCGCAATTGCCGCAACTCGCGAATTTGACGTTCGTCAGCCATGTTGCAAAGCAGATCTTGGCAAGAAAGATGGGGACTTCCATCACCCAACCCTCACCTCCTCCTGCCACTCTCTTTCCTCTAGCTTCATTTCAAGCTAGCTTTACATGGATTCCTCATCATAACTTGATGTCGTCTGCACTCCAGGTTCTACGAGTAGTTTCTCATCATACAGTAGTTTCTTTATTTACCGTCCACAAGTATTTACGCGTCTCTATTGACGCTTAGAACCACTGCTACTGATTGCGCACAGATTCACAAGCGATTAAAATAAGTAATTTAGGGTTTACTGGAAGCTTGCCGCACTACGATGGCAACGGAAGGCGCGAGATGCATCATACGACTCCGCTTACTCTTCTTTCTGACGTTTCTCGCTGTGGTTTCTCCAATCCTCTGTGTCCCGTTTGCAGCCTCCCAAGGTTCGTTCTAGTAGACAAACTTAAATTTGGCATTCAGTTGGTCCCCCGAGGCGCCCCCCCTGCCCTCGACCCCCACCCTCTCTCATGTATTTATTGCCCTGATAGCTTTCATGTCTTATGTAGTCTTGGTGACGTTAGTAGGAGCATTCCAGCAGGAACACTCAGGTGTCACCACGATGACGCGGAGCGCATTTCAGCTCAGCTGTGATCGTGTCACGGGCAGTGCGAAGCAGTGGAACACCAACAGAAATAACGTACCAACAAAGTCTGTTCAAGCTTTTTATTTATGTTTTTTGTAGGTGACAGTGCATCATACAACGCAAAGACACCTTCGGTCGTAACCGTAGCTAGAGGGCCTAGGTAGCAGATACTACCTTGCCCTCGCAGTTTTCTATGGAGGTTTAAGATAAAGTGCTTAAAGAGTTTATCCTGCCCGCTGGGGCTTCCTTCACACAGTTGGCACATTTCAGATGTGGCTGGAACCTGCCGACACCTTGCCTTCCTTGCCTTGTCCATGGCCTTCTTGCCTGTCGAAATGTGTGTAGAGTGGATTCAACCTCTATCTTTGCTTAGGTATGGGTATAGAGCAGTTTCAATCTGCTCAGGTTTCAGCCTCAAACTTGTCCAGCACTCGTAGGGGTTGGTCACCGATTTTCCTCTGAAGAGAGTAGCAGGAGAAAACTGCAGCAGCTGCTATGCCCTTCTTCTTTGTGCCCTGATATGTTTCCCGTGTCTCGTTGTTCAAGCTCATGCCGCTCCATTTATCAAAACCTCATGCACAAGATAGTCTCAGTGGCACCAATCGTGGCATGGCAGCGGATTATCAAAGCCAAGGGGCACACCGGATGTGCCATTTGGCACGATCCATGATTCTTTAGATTCGTGATTCTCATCCAACGCATGATCCTTAGCAGCTTGAGCAGACAACTTCACCTTGAGAATGCAGCAGCATGCAAGTCGTTTCGCAAGATGATAGAAATCTCCCCGATATTCCCTCATCCCTCTCAATTTACGCGTGCTTGCTCTAACAAGTGGGGGCTGCACTAGAGGCAGTGTGAAGCGCACGGGAGGCGAAAGCATGCAGCAGCAGCGTGCAACTGCGAACGTGGGCAGCAAAGGGGCCGAAGTGAGCAGGACGTGGGGGACCCACGTGAGAAGGGTGAAACTGAGG